GGAGGGAGGGAGGGAGGGAGGGCCGGAGGGAGGGAGGGGAAGAGACCCCCCCGCAGAGAAATGAGAGGTGTCACAGGCCCCATCTGCTCAGTGTGTCGTGACAGTGACTTACGAACAGACACAGTTGCTGGAACGTTTTATATAAATCCCTCTGAGCCTCTCCCTGACCTGACGACTTGGCAGGAAGGTGAGGCCAGTGTAGGAAGTTCGCACGGGCTGGCGCTCACGGCCGGCCAGCTCGCCGGAGCCTTCCGTGCCAGCAGGGACGGGATGAGACTGAAGAGCGAAGGCCACCTTTGGCCCTGCGACCTTCCCTCAGTAACCGCCTGCCCCACCGCTTCCCTCTGCAGGGCAGGCTCTGGTGTCGCAGGGGGTCCTCACGCGGGGAGGGGGCTGCGAGGGCCTGCCCACGCGCGGGTGGGGGCCAGGCCCCTCCGGCCGGCCGCTCCCCAGAAAGGCTCTGCGTCCCTGTCCCGTCTCCATTCCAGGCCCTGCTCACGCACGTGGTTCCTCTTCTTCCGGAGCGAACCCCTCCCCTGTGCGCCCCTCACCCCGGGGCTGGTCTCTGGGGCCGAAGGGCCGCCTGGCGTTCGAGGTCCCCACTTCCTTCCTCTAACTCTGCTGGCTGTTTTCTGGTAAATTCCAGGTTGCCCGAACGCATGCGACCGAGAACTTGAAAGGAGGGAGAGTTTGGCAGATTAGAAATCGGAAAACCAGTCCTTGAATTTCCTTTTTCAGATGCTGTCTAGTTTTGGAGAAAAACCAGTGACGCATAACGACTTAGCATTCGCAGGGGGGTGTGGCTTTCCGCCAGGTCGCGTGTGTCTGTCTGTGGCGCAGCATGCCTTAACTGTCCCCGTCCCTCTGTGTGGTGGCGCGGAGAGGGCGTGTCTGTGGAAGCCTCCGGATGCGAGGGCGGCAGGCTGAGACCTTCTCTGCCACCCAGCCCTGTCCCTGACACCACTTGATAACTTCAAAACCGATCCTCACATGAAAGCGGCCGCCCACGTCTGTCCCCAAGGCCAGGTCAAAGGAGAAGGAACGGTGGAAGCAGCTTGCGTGCTGGGGGCCGGGCAGGGGGCCCCAGGCCAGCTTCGGTCCTGCCCACTGCGAGAGGCGAACGCCCAGCACCCAGCACACGGGCTGCTTTCGATGTCTCCACGTTCCCTCCGCCCTGAAACGCTGATGTCATGAGGACAGACGGGGCTCAGGGAGGTTCTAGGGCCTCGCCCAGCAGCTGGCTTCATTTCATCTGCCAGAGTTCCTGGCAGATGGTCCCCACTTCTCACCGGCAAGACAGGGTGGAACCTCAGAGCCTGTCCCTGAGGACAGACCGTGAGGCAGCGAGACTCCCCTGCAGGGCGGGCCACCACCTGCGCACCCCCCCAAGGCGTGGCAGCCGAGGCGAGAGCCGCTGTCACCCCAGGGGCTGGCCACCCCGTGTCCACACTCCCAGGGGCTCTGCCACCCTTTGTCACGTTTGCGGTGCAGGATGCCGCTGCATACGGCACATTAGCAAGTAAACCAGGGACACGAGTATTGTGTCCACCACCACTCACATCACTCCGTGCCACAGGGGATGTCCCCCGTGCCCCCTGAAGGGGCGGTCAGAGGCAGGGCTGGGCTGGCTCCCGAGCCGTGGCAAGCTCCAAGCATTCACAGCACGATGGCCGTCAGGTCACGGCACCCTCACAGACCCCATGAGGAAGGACCCTTATCGTCCCATTTTATAGAAGCCAAAATGCGCTCAGAGAGGCCCCCACCTTGGCGTGGTCACGCAGCTGGGGGGGGCCCGGGGAGCAGAGACCAGGGACCTGGGCTGTGCCCTGGCGCCCAGACCTGCCCTGTCCCCCCCCGGCCACCAGCCCCAGAGCCCGGGCACTCCCCGGAGCCCTGTCCCCGCGCACACGCAGGACAACAGGCCCTGGTCCCCGTCAGCCCTGGCCGAGCCTCCAGGTCCAGGAGCCGACACTCTGTCCCCACACCAGGAAGTGTCTCCAGACACGGCCTCCTTGGCCACCCTGCCATCCCCTTCCTGCAGCCCCGAGCGGCAAGCCCTGCCCCTGCCCCGCTCCGCTGACAGGTCCCTAATCTTCTCCTGCAAAGCGGCGTGGAGCTGGAAAGTGGCCACTGTGGCCTTTGACATGAAGGCACCTGGGCAATGCCTCACAGCAAGGCCAGCAACAGACGGACCTGGGCAGGGTGGGGGGGCTGCGCCCGGTCAGCACGGCCCCTCGGGCGGGCAGGGCCCCCTGGGGACCTGGCGCTGCCGCCCGGGTGGAGCAGAGCCTGTCTTCTCTCGCAGGGAGCTGAGGGCCAGAAGCCCGGCTTTGGCTATGGGGCCAGGACCGCCGACTACAAACCCGCTCACAAGGGCCTCAAGGGCCT